ACCCCGCTACCAAAACCTTGCCATGCAAAACCCGATACATATGGGCATAGACAGCTTGGGAAACAACTGGGTGCCCAGTGCCGATGAAACGGCTGCCTCTCTCCTTTATACAACGCACAAGGCCAGCTCAGGAACTCTCAAGACAGTATGATTGATGTTAACTGTCCAGTTTTTAATTTAGAGACACCAGCTAATGACTGGGCCTAGGGCAACGTATGGATCATACAAAAGATTGGCTTTACCCAGGAGAAGCCATTTGGTACTATTTAAAAGAGAGGGAGAAGGGAGCGGAAAAGGGTTTAAAATGTCTGTGTCTTTTATTAGGAGACCATCAGCTAAAAGTTCAGACAACAGTGATCCCAGTGAAGCAGGTGATGAGAAGAAGAAAAGGGACTCAAGGAAGAGTGGCTTCCTAAACTTAATCAAATCAAGAGGCTCCAAATCTGAACGTCCCCAGACTGTGTTGGTGGCAGAGGAGCCCTCCTCTCCCAAGGTTGCCTCAAAAAGTCCAGCTGTGGACACAAGCAAGAAGGAGGTAAAGCCTACAGAGCAGAATGGCAGTACAGAGCGATCTGAGGAATTAAAGACGCCAGACTCGCTGGAGGAGGCGCAGCCAGACGATGCGGCAAAAGCCGAGAGAGGTGACAGCAAAGGAAGCCCACAGGGAGGACGGAGGTACGGCGTGCAGGTGATGGGCAGTGGACTTCTCGCAGAAATGAAAGCCAAGCAGGAGAAGAGAGCAGCCTCTGCTCAGAAGGTGAAGGCAATTTGATTTCTCTTGAGTTGTTGAAATAATGAGCCAAGAGCCAGATGTCTTTGGGGGAGGTGGGTTGGGTCTGCAAGGGTTGGTGACTGAGGCTTGACACATCAGTCCTGCTTTCCACCAGGGATTATGGTGTTCCTGCTAGAGGATTGCTCTCTGCTGTGGTGGTTGAACATGAATACCCTGGCCAAGGAGTAGCCTGCACACGTGGAGCAGGAGATGCACCCTTAAGCCTGCACTTTCTCTCCTCTTGTGGAGGAGGTGACATCAGCTCTTGCGCTTAATGTTAGGCCATCACAAGCAGAGAAGAGGACATGTAATTGTTTGCATGTATTACAGAGTAATTTTTGGGCAACTAGTAAGCACAACTTGGATGTCTCCACTCCATACGATGTGTGGTTTGCTCATGTGTAATGGAAGCGTGCTTTAGAAAAGGTAAAGCTAGGGCAGACGACTTACTGTGTGCCCCCTGCACACCGGTTCCTTACGTGTTTGGCAGAGTTCACTACAGTGGTAGTTGTCTGTACTCTCCTCTTTTGGGAGGTGGTGTAGAAAGATGGAGAGATGTACTGTATTTTAAATTACATATTCCATGCAGAGAAGTAAATCTGGCTTCCAGACACTGTTCACAACTATTCAGCTTATACTTTTCTTGTTGCGTTTTTTTATTTTTATGTCCTTTTATACCTCACCTAATTATTTTTTATGCTTTTGATTTCTGTATTTCAAATACTAACACTGAAAGAAAATAAGCATACCTTAAAAAAAATATTAATCTATTCCCAATTATCTGTCCAGATTCCCTTTGCTCTCTCCAGTTTTCTTCTCTGTGAAGCACTGATGCTGGGCAAGAGCCCTGCTTTACTTCGCAAATGTGTGGAGTGGAATATCCTTGTGTTGCTCCAGAGCATTCTGTGCCGACCTATTTTGCCTGATGCCCATCTCCCATTGAACTTTCCCATTGTCATCCTCTGCTTCCTCCCAGCTGCACTTGGCACGTTCTAAAATTACCAAAGGATCAGCCTTTTGTCACTCCTCTCTTCTTCAATGTGCAGGGCGCTCGGATGCCATCCATTCCTCTCCATTATCCTCTGAAATTTGGAAGATGTTACCTTATGACAAAGCTCATCTGCAAACTTTGCTGTGTTTTCTTTCTTTCCTTTAACACATTGCAGAATTGTCTTGCTGTGACCAAGCAAGGCACCCAAAGATCATTTTTTACCTTTCTTCATAGTCTTATAGTGCTTGTCATGATGTCTGAACCATTCCTGCAGACACTAGAGTCTCATAATAAGCAGATTCAAATTAAACACAGTAGTATCTGGCTCATTAAAGAGATCCTTCAGCATAAAAAACTATTTTTCTGAAGAAATGACCAATTCCCAGCTTTCTCATTGGTGCTGAGTAGTGCCCACGAATAGTCTCATTGATTTTTAAAACACTAAGTTTTCAAGTAAAATGCCGTATGATTTTAAATAAGTGTTATGCTCTGCCTGTAACTTAGAAAATACCAAGCTAGTCCAGATTATATACATTTTTACCATTGCATAAATTGTGTAAGCTTGGTGCTCTTCACGTTCTTAACACTTGTCATCTAAAATTAGTCAGGTCTGGAATGATGTGACTTAGGTACAATACTAGCAAGTGTAATTTTTTTTTAAGTGGAGAGAGCAAAAATCCTCTTCGATTGATGAGCTTTCATAGCATCGATTGAAAACTTGAATTTCATCTATCAAAAAGAAAAGTTGTTACCTTTTCCCAGTACTTTTTTTCACACTTTGTTTTTTTACTGGTTGGAAAGGTTACCCCTCTTCTTTCAGGTTTAATTTTCAAGAAAATAATGTTGTTGATCCTATTTTTTCATTACATTTTGTAAAAATTTATATTTATGGAATGCAAAAGTAGGGATTTTTTAGTTTGGGGGCGGGTGGTGGGGTTTTTCTATTTATTTAAAGAGCGACAAGAAAGCTGAATTGAAATAGGACTCTATACACAGCAGGGCACCGAGTTATCCATTCTTAATGTTGCCCAGCGCACATGAAATTGAACTGCTGTTCAAAAGAATTTTTCACATACTTCATCCTAGACTTCAATATCGAATAATTCAGGTTTGCACTTTTATTCATGATATTCATGAAGGTGAAAATCATACAGTATCTTGATAGTTGAGCTACAGAAGACAGCATCCCACTGCTGTTACATTGTTTAGGATGGGTGTGACGTCAACTTCCCTAACATCTTCAAATTTATCAGAATTCCAGTATGATAGAAGATGGTATTTTCCTTTAAGGTACAGATGGCTGCTTATATTCTGAGTTATTTTACATGAAAACAAAGCCAGAAGGAATTTACTGTTTCATTCATACCCTACCAGTCTTGTTGCAGAGAGAAGTGATGAGCAGGTGCACAGTAGATGGAAAGATGGTAAATGCTTTTTTGTTTTCTTTTGCTTAGAGTACAACATGCGAATTGGCATTAATGGTAGAGACGAGCATTTGCAGATCAGTGTTGCCTGTCGGTGTACATAAAAAGATCTTTTAGCTCCATCTAGTGTGTACAGATTGAATCTTTAAATACCTAGAGCAAGACCTGTTAGCAGACCAAGATCATCTGTAACCTGTTTATTCACTCTCCATGGCACCCAACTCTGCAGTATTTCTCAACCTTGCATGAATTCCTATTAAAAGTAGAGCCTGATAAATTCACCTGCATTTATCTGACATGATTGACACCAACTCAGAGTATATTTTTGCAGCAAGTGTTTAGTGTTTAAGACCATAAGTGGTTTGTAATGTGTGTACAGGAGGTAGCCAAACATCCTATAATTACATTTTTAAGTACTACACTAATAGGTGCCAGCACTGGCTTTTGTACTTGTCTCTGCATGTGGTCCTATTTCCCCAGTAGTCCCATAACGAGGGAGGAAGGAGTTATAGTGAAATTAGTTTTCATATTGTCGTACAGCTCTCAAGTCATTTCCTGTAGCTAAGTGTTATGCATATATCTTCAATGCTTACTTAGGAAAATGAGTATTTCAGTGAAAGTTCATGGGAATTCACATTCCCCGAAGAAACTGTTAGTAAATTCAGTTCTCAAAAGTTGTTTTTTTTCCTAAAGGTATGGAAGAAAAATCCAGTAAGTGGAGAATGGTATTCCCTTCAAGAATATATAGCCAACACAGTCTTACAAAGAAACATGTGACTTTAGGAGGTGGAGAGGTGAGAATTTAGCCAAAATATCAATGACAGTCAAGAAACGGGAGTAAAAACCGAGTTTTCACCCAGTAGTACAAAGCGTAATGTTCCTGCTAGCTTTGGAGGGGACTTCGTTTTGTCCATACGGGCACTGTAGCTTACTATTTTGGCCTTACAAGTCATGGCATTTCTAGAGTGCGTCTGACCAGAAGACTTTGTTGTTTGGCTTGCACGTGGATTTTAACATACAGATGATTTTATACTTAAAACCTGTGGAAATATAATCCCCTAGAGTTGGATAGTTACATACATATCAAGATAGTTTTACAGTACGGGAAGTTTAATGATAATTCTAATAGGATCCTCCTTAACACAGTGTGCCATTTTAAGCACACACCAGTGCTCAGTGGAGAGTTCAGGAGGTAGCATTACCCTGCCAGGACTTAGACAGGAATAGCAAGCACTCAGCATCTCCATCCTTTTCCTTGTTATATTGAAGAGAGGCTTTGTTCTAGGAGCTGTGAGATTAGATGAGCAAAATGGAAGTATCGGTAAATCTCTAAGGCCAACCACACTGTTTTCTGCATCACTCCCCAAAATCTGCTTCTCTTGAAATGCCTGTGTTGAATTAACACCACAGGAGAAAGACATGTGGCCAGCATGGATATTTAGAGATCGTTCCTTTATGTTTATATTTAAAATACTATTTTCACTCTAAATCCGCCAATTTTTCTATAATTAGTATGTTCTCCTGCTACTTGTAACCATTCTCTTCCTTCCTACCTTTCCTGTTTATCCAGTTTTTATCTATGTGCTATACCTAGTAGTCTTCCAGGTTGGATGCCCCAAAGGGCAGTGATCACGTTTGACATACGCTGCGTGACAGGTGGTGGAGGTTTCTGAACGCTACGGGACAGTCAGATCCCAGCACGACTCATGCAGAGTCGGTGTTGGAGCAGTAGTAGCAGTGCCCTGAACATGACAACATGACTTATGCGTGGGTATATAACCAAATGCAGTGGTCATCAGCACAAATCATTTGCTGTAAGTCATTTGCCACACTAACTGGCTTGAAATAGCAAATCCAGGTCAAAATTAAAGCTCCCTACAAAACTCTATCCCCACTTCTTTAGTTTCAAAAAAATCTCACTTTTTGGCCTAGCCTTATCTTTATAAGACTTCTGTCACCAAATATCCTGCACTTTCTTCTATGTACTTGTTGTATCCTCCTGTTTATTCCTCTGCCTAAGCTTGGTAGCAAGTAAGACGGTAGAAGGAGGCTTGTTTTTTCACAAGCACATTGACTGCATATCTGAGCTTCTCCTGGTGAATACACAGGTTTCAAGCTCACTTAGGCTATAGCTATGATATGACAAAAGCCTTTGCACCGTTTCTTTTGAGGCCAGGATGTTAGGAAAGCTATTTTTGAGAACAGAAGACTTAGCCAGAATATCAGCACATAAACAAGAATCCTTCTTTCTTCAGAGATTCTGAGCATGCAGCAGTGCTTGTGATGATGGGTAGATTTAAACACCTTTCAGAAAGTAACGTCTGTTTGTTTTTAGAGGAATCCTGTAAATACGTGAGTGCTGCTACTTCTGTAGTTGCAGTTTTATCTAAAATACAAAGTTATTCTTGTATGTGGAAGAGCATAAGATCCATTCAGCAGTCATATTCAAAATCTAAATCTTCAGTAAAAGATTTTTTATTTTAAACCTAAACAAGGAATTTTAAAATATGGAGCTATCTTTGGAGAACAGGCTGTTTCCAACTAGCACCTTCAGTTTCAACTCCTGTACATTAGGAGACCTGTCACTTAGGAGGCAGGGTGTCATTGCAGCTTTGCTAGACATGTGGCAGTATTAGTTACAAATCAGCATAGTTTTCTCCCCGCTTAGATCTCTAAGACCTGAAATAGAAACAAAGAGAGAGAATCCACCGTTTATTACTATCCCTGCTTTCTCTGCCTTATGGCTTCCAAATTAGAACTTTTTTTCCTAAGAGAACCACTGAGTTGTGTTAATTACAGATATATTATTAATATGAGAACTTTTCTCACTCTTTCAGAAACTTGGGAATGACACAACTCCCAGAGAGTCTTTTGACACAGCGATGAGCTCAGAACGACTGGATGGAAGTGGTACAGGTACAGTTTGAGTTTCTTGGTATAAACTCTTTCTAGAAAATGCAAAATGCCTAACCTCAAAAATCTGACTTCACTCTCCAGATTGTGTGCCTACAATTGCTTAAGCAAAATAGGAGCTTCCACTACATGAAAAGGATTAGAAACAGGCTCGCTTCTTGTACTCTCTTGGACAGCACTTCTCATGAAGTCAGCTCTAGGACTGAGTTGACGGCTCAGCTTTTACTCTTGTGTTCCATGTTGCACAGGAGGGAAAGTACTTGGTGCACGTGCCTGGGGCACCTTCGAAAGGATGCTGACTTGTAATGGGATCAGCAAAGCTGACGCTGAACCCAGGAGCCAGCAAAAATGTCTATGCGTGAAGAAGTGAAACTCCTGAATATATCTGATGACCTAAATATGACCAATTTGCAAGGTTTATAGTAGTCTCTGCACGTACCAGCTTGAGTAGTCCTGGCTTTCAGCTGTTAGAATGACATCTCGTAGGCAATGGCCGCTGGCTCTTCCCAGGGTTTACCTGGCTTGACTGAAGCCAAGGCTGCAAAGCTGTGGAGGCCCCTGGACACTGCACACATGCACAAAATGACTCTCCATCGTGTACAAAATGGAGTCCAGCCTTGTAGTGGTTAGAGTGCCGATTCCCTCTGCACCTAGTCCTGCCGTGCCCTTATCAAGCTGTAGTCCTAGGCCCTGACATGGCAGCGCTTACAATGCAGCCATCTCAGGACAAGAAGAAATTCTGGTGTCTCTGCATACTTTTGGGACTGGCCAGTGAGGTGTTCAAAAGAGATTCAACTCTGGTGGTTTGCGCGTACTACACTCACTGGACTGAAAGGGTGGCACATAAGGTTGCCAAAACATACAGAAGCCAGGCTGAAAAAACAGGCTGAAATCAAAATCCAGATGTGGCCATCTTGGTTGAACACTTCAGAAATCGATTTTGAAGTTTTATACCTTTCTAAAGCTACTTTTAAAAGACAGCACATTCAGAGCATGCCAAACTATATAAATCCACGCTTTTAAAGCCTGCTTATCTTTTAAGGAGGACCTTGTGTACTATATGTGTCTGCTGATATCATCAAACTGAAGTCAGAGGAGCAAGAATAGTCTGTGCTTGGGACACAAGAGTAGCTGGGGGTGTCTGACCCCAGTTTTTCTCTGATCCTTGTCTGTGCCTGTGACACATTTCACCCCAACCTCACTGCACTGTGCATGCCCCTTCCTTTTGGTCTCCAGCTGTCAGTTCCTTCTTTACCACTTTTGCTCGAGAGCTCCCCGAGGCTGCTCTTTGCTGTTGTGGCTACAGTTTGGTTTGGGTTAATTTATTTTAGCTTACTGGGTCCTAATAATAATAGCAGGCCTGAGGTTAGGAAGGCAAGAAAGAGAGTTAATGGAAAATTGCTAGATGTTGCTACAGGAAATCTATAGATAGTACTGCAGAAGGAGAATAAGGGGGTTTTTTTATTCCTTGCTTCATATCTGGGTGTTGCCTGCCTTTTTGTATGCACACACAGGTGGAGAAGGTGTCCTCCTGTTTCGCTTGCAGCATGAAAGTCTATTGCGTGCATGCAGACAGAAACTCTCCCTGTCACGCACTCACAGAAATATATATGTGCCACACAAGTCTCTCGAGTTTTCCAGCGTTTAACTCCAGCTGGACTGAAAAACAGCTATGTAAGCTGGAAAAACATACTGGAGATTGGTTTGCAACAAACTATATCAACACTCCCCTCCCTCCCACTGCAGTTAAAATGTCTGTGCTCAGCACTTTTGTAACAAGTAGGACTTCTGAATGGGAATAGCAGGTAGGTAGGTCAAGTCAGCATCTGTGAGCACATACATGGCTTTGCCAAGTACCAAGGCTGCCCGTCTACATTTCAGCTAGTCTGTAATTCTCTTCTGAGAATAAAAATGTGACAATTGTTGAAAGTCCCAAGCTAACATACAAGTTCCAAGATTACCATTATCCCTGCTACATACTTCAACCTTCCAAAAGCTGCAGAGTAGGAAAGCAGGGCAGGCATTTCACTTGTTTGCAACCTAGAGTCCAGCAGGCTTTCTACCAGCTTGCACAGCTAGGTAGGACTGATTCATTGCTTGGAAGTCAGTGTAGCTGTATCTGTAAATACCTTGGTCTTTGTTTGGGATATATAATACGTTGATAAACTTGCTAATGTGTGGAAACTGTAATCCATATACAGTGTTACTAGATAAACCAAAATATTCTATAAAGAATACTTTGATCTCGGCTAAGTTTCCAAATCTCCTCCAGAGCTTGCTAAAACCAACAAATAAAAAGATGTAGCCTGCTGATCTCACATTTGGGATTTATTTTCTGGGCCAGGATTTCTCTGTTGATCTTGGATACCCAACCTTTTGTCTGTAGAGGCACAAAACAGCCAAAGGCTGCCTTTTCCGCTGATCCATGGCTGCTTTCTCAGCAGGTAAGCTGTACCATCTGCTCTCAGAAATATGAAGGAAGAATAAGGTCCAGCCAGCCATCACCCCAAATATATTGAAACGGGGGAGATGCCACTGCCTCTGAGACAATTGAATTGTGAAGCTTAGCACGTGTAAGAACTTGTTAGAACGTGTTAGATGCTTTTTTTGCAGTGATTTTGAATGAAATATTAGGAGTCCTCTTACACACTCACACGGCAATGCAGCAGTGATGTGTCGGCTAATGATGGTATTTTCCACACAAGCATATCTGTACATGGAGCCTTCTGTGTTGCAGGAGACTTTATTTTATATGTCTGTTTATTTTAGTGCCTAAACTCCAGCAGACCCTTCCAGAGAGTCGGTTCGCCTCAAATAAAGGTGACTCCATCTCATCATCATCAGAAAAGAATTCAAAAGCTGAACCAAAGGCAGAAGCTGGTGCAAAGGCAAGAAGTTCTTCCAATACACCGACCAGCCCGAAACCCCCACTGCAGTCAACAAAGCCCAGCCTGACAGGACGACCCACGGTGCCACAGAAACCACGCTCTGCCTCACGTACTGGTGAGGAGCTCTTCTGGGCATTCGTTATCCCCAGCCTGGGTGCTTCTGAGCGGTGTTGGTGTGGGTTATGGAGCAGCCACCCACGGCCACATCCTGAACAGAAGTTAGATGTAGAGGGACAGGTTCTTCTGTCACTGACTCTTGACTTGCATCCTTCTTTTCCACCTCCCTCTACCCTAATTCAAATAAACTTATTAAAATGGTTTAATCTGTGATCCAGAATAGTAAAGCCTGAGGAGAAGCAATAGCAGCAGCAGCAGAGCTGTTTTGAGTTAGCCCGCTTTCGTGGAAGAGGTGAGCATAGAAAGCTACATCAGCATCAAAGCCCTGTTGTAGTAGCACTGACAAAAATAACTATTTTCTCTGAACACCTGGCTCTAAATACTAAAGTCCTTGGGGTTTTCTGGCAGGCTGCTCTTATCCCCCAAGCAGATGCTTGTTATTCTTAATAATGTGCACAAATTGACTGTCTCTCACTCTCTTTTTCCTTGTTTTGCCTTTGTTTCTTTCCTTATTGCTTTTGACCGGAACAAATTGTAACTGTGATTTTATAACCCTGCAAGACTGTCAGTTGAATTACTATTAACTTCTGTTCTGTCCTAACCTCCTGCCCAGGTATATTATCCCAAGGTTCCCAATAGTGGGAAATATTTCAGCAGATGTCCCATACATTTGTCTGTGCTCTATTTAATAGGCCAGTGTCACAACCCCCTCTTCCCAAAGTACAGCCACTGCGGTTGGGGGGAATTAAATGCTAGTTACTGACTCCCTCAGTACCTGTGGCAAATAGAGCTTCTTAATTGCTAATGACTGAAAAATGAGAGCATGGCCATCTGTAAGAGCTTGCAGACCTCTAGGCTTTTCCTGTGCTCACTGTTGACTTTAGGAAAATGTCACTTCTGTTGAGGACGAGGGGGCAAAGGGATATTACAGCCTCCTCCCTGCCCTTGATGTGTAACCTGAGCATTACTTAGTCTCTACCAGTGGGTAGAACATTGTTCAAATAAAGACACACCTTCAGGTTTTAGATGGCTTTAAATTTATTTTATTGACCATTACAAAAATGGTCACAAAAGAGAGAGGTGTCGGCTAATAAGCTCACAAAGATGAATACAGTAGGAAAGCATGGCTTATTTAGTGATGCTTAGCCTGTAAAATAGGCAGTGTATTATCTCAAAATCTTAGGTATCGGAAAGACCTGAGCTATCTGTTTCTGCCAGCTCCTATTACCTGCAGAGAGTGCATACTGTGGGTTTAACACAGAGAGTAATTAATATTTACTTGTAATAGGCCAGCTCCTCAGGTGGCAGTAAAAGCAGCACCATCTCTGTTGCAGTCTAACTTCTATCTTCCTACTCGTAGCAACCTGCTGGCTAAGCACGCCCAGGCAACGTGTTGAAGCAGCCAAGCAATAATCCCATTTACGCTCTTGCTCCCACCGTTGTTTCCAGTAGTGTGGCCAAACTAATGGTATCAAATTTTTGCTAAGTAATCTGAGGGCGAAGGAACACTGCTCGGATGTCCGCAAATTATCAAAGACTGAAAGTAGTTCCTCGATAAAGCACATAACAGCATTAGTTCAGAAATACGTAGCTGTGTTTGCCGTGCACAGTGCTCATCCATATGTTGATACTGAGCTTCCCAAAGCAACTGGCCTCACAGGCACGTCAAAAGCATGGAGAAGGTCCAAGAATTGGTGTATCTGTTCAGATCGAGTTGCATTTGGAGAGTTATCACTTTCCTGTGCTGAAAGTAAAAAGATTGACTCCTTTGTGGTGGCTCCTCAACAGTGAGATAAATTCCTATTAATTTCCAGTACGCAACTGGATTAACTCATTGTACACATACGCAATACAGGTGGTTGAGGTCCTTTTTCCTTCTATCAATACTAATGTATTTTCCTAGTTCCTCTGTTGGGTATGTATGCCAATGTTTACTCCTTGGGAAACAAACGTCCAAGCAATTTAAGTAATCCATTGTAGCTATACTTCCCCGCTATCCAAATGAAGGCTGTCTTGTGTAAGACTGAAAAGGTCTTCCCGTAAGGACTGTAAAGGTGGTAATCAACTTGTCATACATAACACATACCCAGCCTTTTAGAGAAACAAGATATCCAGATGGTTTAAACTATGGGTTTGAATTTAAGTTCCAGATTTCCTCACAGTCTAGAAGATGAAGTATTTTTTCTATTTAGAAAATCTTTGCAGATACTGTCATGTTATGTTCTGGCAATTTATTCCTGGAAGTAGAGCGTTCTGTAGGCTATTTATGAAATTTGTTTCCCTGGCTCACTTTTATGCCTTATAACTGTGCAACAGGATATCTGAATTGATCAGTTCATTATGTTTCAGGACAATAAAAATATAAATAGAACAAATATTTATGAAAATCCATCCATAATGGTTTTCAACTGTTCTTTACAAATTACATACTTACGTCTTGCAAAAAATTCATTTGATCCCATCAGATTTCTATTTGTGCTGCAATAGCAGTACACATTTCAAATGCTGAAATTGAGATCTTTGCTTTGGCTATTAAAATTCTTTCACCTGGACTGAGGGCCATCATGCGTTCTCTTGACACAAATTCCTGAATCCTTCTTTTTCTGACAGATTCTAGCTGTTTCTTGTTTGTGTATTGTGTTGAGGTTTGGCCCATCATAACAGCACTATTTCTGTGAGCTACAACACAAATATAAGTTCTCACCCTTTTGTACTCCACAGAGGATGCTCCGGAGTCTCCCTCTGGCCCCAGTTCCCCAAAAGTTGCCCTGCTTCCACCTGTGCTGAAGAAAGTTCCTTCTGATAAAGAAAAGGATGGTCAGAGCAGCCCCTCAGTCAGATCGTTTCCTCAAGAAGGTAGGAATGTGGGGTATAACTGTTGTTTCAGCGTGCTTGTCTTCTACTAGAATTTGATGTGTCATTGTCCCCTGGTTTGTTTTCACTTGGAAGGGAAGAGGGTTAGTTATTTGGAGGAAAAAAGAGCAAGGAAAGCGTATCTTTCACTCCTCATCTCCTCCACCCATAGGCTGGTGCTCTATATTTTCTTCCTTTAATCAAACCAAGGTTTAGTTTGGTCTGAATCAAGATACTGGTTGGTACTGATCACACACAATGATGTGATGTGCATTTCTGTGGTTCAGCACATTTCTGGGGGGCAGCCATGACTTTGTTCCTTGCAGCCAGCCTGTTCTTCTGTTTGTACTTCTCCTTTCTGTGGGGTCGCTGCATGTGACTGACTTCTCCTCCTCCTCAGGCCATGAGTCTCTGTGTGCCAGGGCAGGGCTCAGTCCTTTTTACGCACAGCAGTAGGCTGCTGCCTTGTCTTTGCTGCTTTTCATGTGTGCACTGGATTTCTGCTTTTACTGACATGTTTGCTTGCCCACAGTTAGCCCTTAGAAGAGCTAAGGCTTCCTCTGATAGCATAGGATACATGGAGTAGTCACAGAAATGTCGCTCAGTGTGGTCGTACCTGGCACAAATGACAACGTTGGAAATCTGAGGGTGAGACCTCTTCCTTCCTGGAACTCTCCTCAAGAAAGACATCCAGGGCGATTCCCATCACTTCAGCTGTGAGACAAAAGGGTGCCTTTTCACACTCTGCCAGCAGTTTTTCATAGTGTAGGATGGGGACGGACGAGTCGAGGCAGAACCTAACGCTGGGTTGTGAAGGCTGAGCCATTGGACTGCCCACAGAGCCCACCATTACCCTCTAGATGAGAGAAGGGGCAAAGCCATCCCCAAAGCGGGATGGTCCAGAGGTGTACTTTGAGAAGCTTCTCCTTTTCTCTCCTAAAACTACCCTTTTCTTTATGAAACAACTTACCTCACAGTCTGGGTGGTGCTTTGCTTGGAAGATTGTTGCTGTGGTGGCTACCATTTGGTGACTGCATGTCAACACGTCGGGTATTCGGCTACAGGTTCTGACTCTCGCTTCAGCCACCTATATGATGCCATTGGGCCACTCTTGTGCCATAAAGGTAGCCCAGCAGAACCACCGCAGTCTCACTGAATTATGCAGAACTAGCAGGACACAACGCACCCAAGGACCTCTCCTGTGTCTGAGGGTTCAGACGGTCCACGTTGCCAAAAGCTGCCACACTCTGTGGCTCAGGGTCCCAAAAAGACAGCAAGGTGTCTGAAATGCTTCCCAGTGGCTGTGGCATGAGGGCTGCAAGGCAGAATAGCACCTGGTTTATTCTCCTGCCTTTACTCCTGTCAGAGCCTGTGTTGAGACAGGTGAACTGGGCTACAACTTAGGGATCAGACTCGCTACACTGGTGCCATCCTGTTGAGGATGGTTGCAGTCAAAGGTTCTTGCCACAACAGACTCTCAGCTGTTGTCTGATAACTGCATGTACTGGAGTCCTTGTTTTCTGACGAGCTTTTCACCAGACTGCAAGAGAGAACTTACTACTACGTAACTAGAGAAACACAGCGTAATGGGACTTGTTGCAGGTACATTTAAATGTGAGGTTAACCTGACCGTTTCTGTGCTATATGCCTTCTCCATCTCCCTGTCATGAGAGGGGACATTAAAGAAGCAGGGAATATGGAATCGTAACTACAATCCTTTTGTGTTGCAGCAATCTCTTAATACAGCAGAGATTTGGCAAGGTTTTGCAGTTTGTGGTTGTCACATGGTAAGAGGGACGTTCGCTTTATTTTTGAAATGTATTTGCTATTTGCAGATCCTTACACAAAAGGAGTCAGACGCTGTGCTTTCCTCACTCCTTGCTCCTTTAGACAGACCTCCACAGACAACTTGGCCAAACACAGGGTTTTCTAGTTGCAGCTACTTTGTACTGTACGAATTTTATCAATAATAGTTTAGAATGCCTAAAATTAGGTTTCCAGGTCCTTACAGAGCTGCTATACTTTGCATAAAATTGTTCAGGAAAGAGTAAATTCTGTTTCATTTTGGGGTGGGTTTTTTTCAGCTTTTCCTTTTTTCTTTATTACTGTTCTGCTTCCTCACTCAGTCATTCCTCTATCCTTGCTTTCTGCTGCCTTTCAAACTAGCCTGCTCAATTTATTTCTGCAACTGGTACATCACTGCAAATCTGCCTAAGTTAGTAAACAAAATTATATCTCCTGCAAAAGAAAGCTGCAAATTAGATGATACTTGATTATAAAATTGCTTTATGTTAATGAGTTTAACTGTACTTTGTGGGACAATCTTAGAATACACCTCTTTACACAGCGTACCTTTAAGATCGGGCTGCAGTTACCAACATGCGCAAATATCTGAACTAAATTTAAGCAAGCATCTGGCATATTGCTTGCTACTCTTTGAACAATTGATTAAATGGGATGGATAAGGGAAGTTATTTGTATTACTTTCCATATGTGGGCCTACATAACAGCTTAGGTGTATAAATGACCCATTTTCCCTGCCAGAGCAAACAGGAGATTGTCAAAAAAGAGATACAGCTCCTGACTGTGCCAAGTCAGCTGGCGGCGTGAAAACCACTTCGGGGCAGTGTTCTACCAGTGCAGAAGAGGAAGCTAATGTGCTTGGGCAGAGGAAGGCACAGCCAACTTCTGGTTAGAAGTTTTCATTTTCTCATCGAGATGGTGCTTGATAACTGGCACTAACAATCGTTAAGAAACGGTAATGGCAAAGAAGCCACAAAAGGGTGTGGGTTTGTCATTGGATTATGAGAAAGGTAAAAATCTCATGGGATGTTTGTCATCTTTCTGTCCCCATGGGGACTACGTAGCATGAAAAAATTTCTAGGTAAGAAATGCACGTGTGTTTTTTCCTTCGTGGCAACACCAGTGACCAGTACCATATAGCACCTGCGGCCCCTCTGCAGAAGAGGGCTCGTTACAAACCATGATTGCTCATCGCAGTGGTGCTGGCACGCTGCCGTGTAAGTACACCGGAGGTAGACTGTCCGCCGCTTTCTGTGCTTACATACCTTCCCTTTTTAAGATGCGTGCACTGAAGTATTTCAAAATACATTTCAGCCTGCGTATTGTTAGTGCCAGTTTCGGTACATCACTCACAAAACCATTTGAGAACTGGGTAAATCAGATTTTTTTGACGTAGCACTTTGATTTTCAGCTGCCTAAACAAACAAACACACACCAAAAGAACCCAAAACCAGCACTGTGCTGCACGTTTAAGCCGTGCTTCCTGAAGAGCAGCTTTGACTGATAGCATGCTCATTCAGTAGGCTATAAAAATGTTTGGTTGATCTATCTGTTTTTAAAATCTAAAAGCTCCTGTTCCCAAATGGTATGTATTTACATGCTTCTCTTTACCTCTTAACTGGTTTGTTTAAACAATGATTCAAAATTACTTTTTTTCTGAAGTGTTTTAATGAGGTATTTGAACATCTTATGCAATTACATTTACATACAGTTTTTCTGTTTATAAGACATCATGTATCCTTGTTGTAACAACCTCAGCCCAAAATGTATGAATTGATTTCCTTTTCATATTGTAGAATCAAACTTAGCCCACCCAAACTTGGAATCTCTCCCCCCTGTCATAATCAAATTATTATATTTTAGTTCATTCAAAGATATCTCTCTGGTAAAGTAAATTTCAAAAGCTGAGATACTGCCGCAGATCTGTGCAGGTCACCTGTGTATGGTTTCATCGGGGCAAGGGTAAGCTCTTACGGCAGAAGCTTGCTTTGCAGTATGTGAACTTAAATGCCTGATACATTTTTGAGGCATTTTTAGGGCAAACTACCTGTCTTGATTTATCAGGCCATAAACTCAAATGGCCACTGCAGGGTGTGTTCTGGGTTTTGTTTGAAGAGTGAATGGAGGCCAAGCAAAGGCCATGTAATTACTAGGAGGTTACAAGTATCAAGAACGACTCAAAAATTTCCAGGCTCCTATTTCTTTGAAAGGCAGTGGTGTTCGGGAAGATGGAAATGCTTAAATTCTTTTTACAGAATTTAGGTGTCTTAATCCTCTCCAATTCTATTAAATAGTATTAAAAACCTCTCTTAAAATCCTTTCCTCTTCTTCCCCAACTTGCAAAGCCGGGATAAGAATGCAGCGAGCGTGTAGCTGCTGGCTCTCATTTTCTCCCATATTTTGGCTAGCATAAATAAGGTAACGGGTATTTTGGACTCAGGAGAACTATTTGGGTAGCAAATGTGCCGTGTGTGCAGAGGTGGGCCTCTGCAAGATGCGTGCTGGATATATCTGTTCTGCTTTCATCACGGCAAAGATCCAGGACTGGAGAATGTCTGTGCCAAATGAAGACAGGGCAGAGCTTTCTGTCCCCTGTTTCACAGCCTGTTGACAGGCACCGGCACTGCTTGGGGAGTCGTGCTGGCCCCCCCGGGGATACAGGGAGCATCCCTACTGCGGCTGCCCCAGCAGCTCAGCAGCGTCGGCTCCCTCAGGATTCCTGTCGACATTTTTCCTCATTCCTGGCAGACCCTAACACAGCCTGGCACAATTTGAAACGGCCACGGAGATGTGACAGTGACAGGGCAGGCTGTCCCTTGGGGGAGCAAGGCTGTAGGTGAGTGGTACACGGGGAAGGAGAGGTGGTCCTTCATGGCCACCGCAGCTGCTGGTGCCTTCTTGGGAGAGGCGTGCACAAAGGTCAACAGGCAGAAGGATCAGTGCGAACCAAAGCCGGACGTCCGTATCCGAAACGGTGGAGCAAAGAAGGTCTCTTAACTGTAACTTTTCATTTTGTGGGGGTGAAGTGAGATCACTTGCAACAGAGTCATATTTAAGGGCCACTGTGTGTTTAAAGGTTCATTTTAATTGGAAGTATGAGATTTCTAAAGCTATTAATCACACACACAGAATCACAGAATCGGTTTGGTTGGAAGAAACCTCTGGGATCATCGAGTCCAACCTTTGCCCTAACACCACCATGTCAACTAGACCGTGGCACTAAGTGCCACCTCCAGTCTTTTCTTAAACACCTCCTTGCATAACGTCACCCCCATCGATGTGTATAATAACTCTTCTTGTAACCAAAGCAGTTGTAGACCACTGATTAGATCAGAAATCTTAACAAGGTTTTACAGCCTTCTTTCCAATTTATTTCAAAGCTTGTAGGTTTTGGGAAAACCCTGCCCTTACCGAGATTTGAGAGTGCTGGGCGAACAAAATGGGTACTTTTTGCATTTAGATCATGGGAAGTGGGTACGTCCTCCTGCTTTCGCTGCTGCCGAGCACAGCGAGGTGCAGAGCCCGTGGTCTCAGCTGGAGGAGATGCAGGCTGGGCTCAGAACCATGGGGTCCCCTCCATCAGGGAGCAGGGAGGCTGTCGGGACCTGGCAGTGCTGGTGGGGCAGGGAGCAGCGGTTCAATGCCAAGTCTGTGAACGTCTGTCCTGATTAAGGCTGCTGAGTCAAAAGGGAGAATATAGATGTGTCCTGCTAGGGAGATGGGCCTGCCTGGGACATGTGCCAGTGGTCTGAGGGGTGCCCGGCAAGGATGTCCATCTCGGCGGTCAGGAGTGCCATGTCTGAGATCCAGCCCAGCTTGAAAAAGAATGCTGTTCTGGTTTTGAAGTGGTGTGATGAGAAGAAAGTCTCCAGGTCGTTTCTAACTGTAATGTTTATCCATGTCTCAGTACTGAATACTTCATATTTCAAGGTTGCCTGCTTGCTGGTCGGCAGTGGAATAAAGTTTGCTCAAATTCTCTCTCTTCTCTCTCACCTTTTTCTGGGTTGAAGAATGAATAGACCCATGCTACTCCCACTAGTGCAAATGAATTCAGTGGGAGCAGGAGCAGGTCCTGTGTGCATGAATAACTTATTTTTAATTATCACTATCTTTCTTCCTCTCTCTTCTACAATCATTAGTAAGACCTATTTCTGTTTTATACAGCTGCAAAAAGAAGCCCTGGGCAGCAGTCTCATGAGTTCCAGGAACTGAAGCAGAGGTCCTTGAGTAAAGATGGCCATCAGGGAAGCAAGTCTAGCGACTCTGGCGAAGAAGCAGATAAAGATTTTATTTTTGTTTAGCGATCGGTACAAGTGCATCGTAGCGCAAGAGCTTTTTATAACGATCAGGGTACAGCAATCAACAGCCCTTCTAGCCAGCTGCTCTTTCACCACAGGTATATTTCCATGCAGAAAACCTGATCTTCCAGTCGTGATTTACAGTACACTCACTCGGCATTGATTCAGTCCTTAATTTCTGTTCTGTACAACGCAGACGTTCCTTTCCATGCCTTTGCTAAAGCCAGCGATTCTTTGGTGTATTCTACTTGAATTCCTCTGAAGCAGCTACAGAGAGTGCCCTGCATTAGGGCATTTAGAAAGCAAAGCAAATTAACTGGACACTGTCTCACCCTAATACACTGTACAGCAGGTAATGTGTTGTACTGCTGAATGTAAATGTGTCAAATCTGCACGTGACTTACCTATAAATATATTCTTGCGGTATGCAATTGCACATTGTAATTATATTAAAAGAGCACACTAATAAAATGATTTGTATAGATTATATATATTAAATGCTTGGGTATGGTTTTTACATTCTCCCGTAGGGAGCTTCTTTCTTCCTGTTCTCGTACTGTACATAAAGCTCCAACGCTTACATTTGTGTACCGTCAAAAAGCACAACAGAGAAGGATTTGGATGACGTATAATCATGGTATGCTTCCACATTCGTATATTAATGTATATAGTTTATTGGAATGAGGGCAATTGAAATTTTATTAATATTGGTGTTTTCTAGAGGCCTTCCTCAGTTCTGTCTGCATATTAGCTTCCTTTCAATGTGTAATTCTATGAGAGAAATAGTTGGACATCTGTAAAAACATTTCGGCTTTTGAGGGAGGGGGTGCAAATTTCACAGCTACCCACTTACATTACAGGTTGAAGGGATTTTATTCATATGTATATTTGTAACAATAAAAAATGATTTTACAACTGAAATACTTGTCTTTGTTTTTACAGCACTATTTGTGGTCTGACGGTCTCTCTTTTTAGTGATGGCATTGTGTCAGGTAGACAAAGCATGCAGTTAAGACAAAACCCATACAGTCTTTTTCTGCTTCTAGTTAAATGTCTGTTCCGACTGAAAGGGACGCATACACATCATCTTCGTAAAACTGCTCAAAGAAGGCCTCTTTGCTCATCTCCTCCCTTGGGATCTTCAGCACAGCAACCTTCACGTGAGCCAGAAACACCGACTATCTAAATTCTCTATTTTGGTTCCGTAGGACAGAAGGAAAATTGGTTTGGTAACTCTCTCCCAAGAGCAGCTTCCCGGGCCCTGCTGTGCTTTCTTGCCTGGGTAGAAATGCTCAGATACCCGTCTGTCAGATGACCTTCCCTCTGATCCCTGCGCACCTACCTGCTGGTGCCACTTCTCCTATCGCAGCCTAAAGGGCTGCTAAGTCAAACCAGTAGCCTTCCTACCAGAACACCTTAGAAGCACTTTTTAGAGGTTTACATCTCAGAAGTAGGCTACAAGGCTGTGGGAAAGGGGTCCTGAAGGCTGGGGCTTCATACCGGGGGGTTGCGCTGTCTTGAAATTCTGCGCTTGTCTAAAATCATTAGGAGAAAGTTCTTCATTTTCACAGGCGTATGTTCTTGATTTATTGGGCATCAGTGCGAACAAAAGACAAATGGCGAAGGAAAATTTCAGATGCTTGTATTAGAAAGGAAAAATAATCCAGTCATAAATAAACTGCAAGTTTTGTTCCCATAGGACATGAAGAAGACAATGGTCTGAGCAGTGTAAGTATGCAAGAAGAGTTCCCCGATTTGTTGGTCTTGTGAATTTAACAAAATTAATAGCAAAGGTTGTGGTATTAATTAAAAAAAAAAAAAAAACAGACTTCTGACTGCTGAGAACCTCTCTTACTTGTGCTTGATGTCTTTCTCACCAGTCATCTGAGATGCTGCACTGGTCCTGCTGTGAGAAATCACAGCAATAGTGTGTGCCCATCACCCTGGTATCAGTAAACCAATGACAAGGAAGTCTGAAATGCTGTAGAGAAACTATGTGTGTGTGCTGATAAACACAAGAAGAAGAAAAGCTATAGTGCTGTAATAGTTGTCTGCTGAAGTATAAAGATCTCATTAGACAGCAATGTTTTTCCATATTCGTTACGGAAAGCCTTTCCAGCCTTTATTCCAGCCATCAGTGTGTTGTGGGCAGGCGGAGTGGTGGAGAAACGACTTTCGGGGAGTGCTAGTGCGAGCTCTTGGAGAGCTGGGGTTTGGGTTTGTGTGCGTCTGTGGGTTTGGGTGTGGGGAGGAGCGATAATTTTCATTTCTTTACTTTCTCTGCCTGGCGAGCCCAGCACTGTCAGCCTGGTGGGCAAAGAATTCACGTTGCATCCAGAGCACCCCCGTTGTACCGCTTCTGCATTTAAGAAATAGTGACTTTAATTTTCACTATCATGAGCCCATAGAGGCCCTTGGGTAAGTGCCAGTGTTTCAGGGAAGTAACCAGGGGAGGTGCTGCCTTTCACGAGCTGTGGGCCCTCGGAAGCATATGCGCGGCTGGAGGAACCCTCCTTGTTTCTCTTGTTGCCTCCCTGCTGCCTGAGGTGCCTTGCGGATGCTCTGCGGTCAGTCCCCTCTGCTCCTCACCTGTCCCAGGCCAACAGAGAGATCAGGGAGTGGTACCACTGAAGAGAAGTGCTGTTACGTGTTCTCCCAGGGCATCCACAGCGTCTTTGAGTACCACCGAGGCTCTGCGATCCTCCTCATCCTACACTGGGCACTGCCTGAGCACCTCCAGCCGCGCTGGCGTGGTGGGAGCAGAGATTGGCAGGGGAGGAGAGCTGGCTTGTTCCCGGGCACGCTGCCGGCCTTCCTCTCGCAGCCGAGGGCATCTCCGCCAAGCTGTGCTGCGTGGCTCGGCTGCTCAGACAGGGGGTTGTGCCTGACACGATGGTTTGGTACCTGGGCCGTGGCCGGCCTCGGGCAAGACAGCAGCTGCACGTTGTGTTCGCTGTGTTTGGAGGTGACAACAAGGGGGTGGCAGCATCTGAGGTGACAGCGAGGTCCTCTGCACCCCTCCAAGCACCAAAGCACACGTACTGTACAACCAAATCGGAGCGAAGGGCCCAGCAGCCCTGGTTACCCAGTGAGAAATGCTGCCCTGGAAGGGGTCCTAGCACCGGCATCTCCGGTCAGAGCTGCACCTACTTGATGCAGGGGAGAGACGCTCTCTTGGAGGGAGCTGCCCTGCCCTTTTCTGCTCCGAAGTCTGGTTTTCAGGTTTTGCCGTTGAAGATTTTCACCTGTGGTATACGTAGCGGGA